AATTCAGAGGTAGGATATGTAACCTACTAAGACTGATTTTACTGATTTTCTTCTATTACAAGAAAAGAGCACAAGTAATGTGAAAACAGATGTTGCCTATGGAAGCTGTAATTTTAATGTAGGCTCTACTGCTGATTTTTTTAGTTTTGGAAAACCTAATATTGGAAGCCACTGATTTATCTGACAGTGAAATGATTTGTGAAATCTTTGCAAATTTCTCTATTTATAAACAAGCAGTCCAAATTAGTGATCTGTCTCAATATGCAATTTTATTTGTATATTTTGTGAATTACAAAATGTATATATTCTTCTACTGGTCAGTTACCAACAGAGTATTTGTTCACATTATAGCGTGGTTGTGTTTATCACATAATCATGACTGCTTATTTTATTAAAGTTAAATATTTATCATTCTTTCTGTCATGTAGTAAACATTCAGTCTATCTTATGAGATGTGGAACTGACAAGTAAATTCAGGAATGTGATAGAATGTACTTTTGCCTTTGTGTGAAAATGATCAGTTAAACTCTTTCATAATAATTGATTATGAAATTTCATGATTATAATTATGCTGTTCTTTTAAGAGAACTTAGTTTGATTTCTAGTTAAAAATTAAGTCTATTTAAGATATTTCAGGCCTTAGTATAATTGCTCCCTGCAAAAAATAAGTAATAAATCTTTATATTCTGTTAGTTTCTGTATTCCCTTGTAAATATTACCATTTTAATTGTAAATATATACATCCCTCTATAGATAATTATTATAGCATACATTAAATAAATCAGGATTATGTGGCAAAAATCTGCCTCAGTTTAAGAATATAGAAAAATAAATTTATTAAACTAAATTAGAAACTACCTTTTTATTGAAAAGGATTTTGTCATTCATTTTTATTAAATAGTTATGCTTCAGGTATGTTTTAAATATGTTTAAGTTATAAAAATTAATTTCACTTGAGTGTTATAGGAATAACTTTGTAAAAAGAGGCATATATACATATAACACAAAATATTAAACTTTACAAGAAATTACAAAATATGAAATACGGTAAAACCTAATTATACATTTTCTGTGACACAGTTGTGCAAGTTACTTTACGTATATAGTTGATATTTCCTTGACAGTGTTAACTCTTGTGAGAACTGAAATACACTATTTAATAATAAAAACATAGAATTTAATAATCGTGTTAACTATGTAATTAATGTATTTATGAAAATATATTACAGTGAAATTTAATTTATTGAATATAGTCCGAAAGATATTTCTCAGTCTTCTGATTTTTTAAGGGAATTTAGTTTACTTATATAATTTCAAAAATAGTTTTCAGCTGTAACATTGAAATATTTCCTCTAATTACTCTTTACTCCTTCCAGAGGAAATGGATGTAGAAGCTCGGCTTACTGAATTATGTGAAGAAGTTAAGGTACTTCGATTTTTAAAATTCACATTATGAAGGTATTTGAGTGGTGTCTGTTTCCTATTCTAAATATTTGGTCTATGAAAACTCTAATTAATTAATTAATTGTCTTTCCTAAAATGCAAAGATAAAATGGTTAATCATGGTAGAACCACAACGTAATTGATCAAAATACATTTGACTTTAGCATCAAGTTAATTTACGTTCTAAAAAGTATATTATTCTGCATATAAATGAAATAGCAAAGATAATTAACTGATCAAAAATATACATTTTCTAATATTCAAAGATTTTCTG